ACTAAAAAAAGAATTGAACGGAATAAAAATAAAATTACCTCCGATGACAAGAAACTTTTATGTTGATGGTTATGTTCCTACTCCACATTAATCTTTTAATTCATAAAATTTTAAAAATAATTATTTTGGTTTCTTTGTTTTTATATGTATTTAGAAGATTAATAAAAAAAAAAAATAAAAAAAAAAAAAAAAAAAAATAAAAAAACAAAAAAATAAAAAAAATAATTGACAAAAAAATTATATGTATAAAATTTTCTTCTACAAAATTCATCAAAAACATATTTCATTCCTCAAGAAAAAAAAAATTCTTTTTTTTTTTTTTTTTTTTTTTTTTTTTTATTGATAACAAATCTATTTTCACTTGATTTTTTTTTTATCAATTTTTTTTCCTAACGGTCTTTTTACTTTTTTTTTAAAAAAAAAGTACATACAAAAAAAAAATTGATCATCATTTTTTTTTTGTGTGTGCATGACCAACTTCGTATTCTTCATTTAACTAGTCCTTTTATTTTCCAAAAATGTTAATAAAGTCTTTTATTAACCAATACCTCAAAAATGAAAACATTCTATTTAAACGATAGATAGAAAAATATGTATAAGGATTTAAATATAATAAAAGAAAAAATATTTGTGTAAATTTAAGGTAATAATATTAGTAGTATAACTTCATAAGAGTTATCAGATTATGAAAAGAATTAATTGAAGTATTTGAGCATTAACCATCAATGCAAACTTTCCTTATCTTTACCATTCATTTATTAATAATATCATCGATATAATTTCAATAATATTTAAAAAAATAAAATGAGTAAAAATATATTTAATTGCGCATGCTGAAATGCTTGAATAATAGGCACATAGAAATGCTTAAACTGAAATTAAATATGCGAAAAGTATGTAAACTAAAAAAAAAAAAATTATTCTTGCACTAAAAGTGAATTAAAAAAAAAAATACTTTCTTTAAAAGTAAATGCATTAAAAGAAAAAAATTCAGATGTGTTTAATTATATTTTTTTTTTTTTAGTACTTATAAATAAATGTATAAAAACATATATATATTTTTTTATTATGTTTTTTTTAAATAGAAAAAAAAAAAAAAAAAAAAAAATAGCTGATTCATAATTTAAGTGAAAATAAGCAAATTGTTAATTTAACATTTTAGCAAAATATTGAAGCATTTATGAAATTATTTTTTTTTTAATTTTAATAAAATCAAGTTAAAATTAAAATTTTAAGTATTTTTTATATATTAGATAGAAATAAATAAGATAAAATATGATTTTTTTTTTTTCAAAAAGATGCTTTATTTAACAAGCAAGAGGAAATAGTTATTTTTATATTTTTAGCTTTTTAAAATTGTTATAAAGATATCTTTTTTTTTTTTTTTTTTTTTTTTTTTAATAAAATAAAAAAAAAAAAAAAAAAAAAAAAAAAAAAAAAAAAAAAAAAAGAGAAGAAAGCAATAACTGAGTATGAGTGAGTTGATTGTGTGTGAATCCAAAGACGGATCATGGGATGACTGTAATCTGCTTGCAGCTGGCAGCTGCTGGGTGACATTATGCTCAGCCTGGGTCTGCAACATGCAGCTGGCTAGCAGCAATCCTGTTGCTGGGCAGCTCAATTCTTCCTAAAGTCTTACTGAGTTGAGAAAAACCTAATTGCTCTGTCCTTCAGACAGGTTACACTTTAAAATGTTGTCTATGTTGCCTGAGTAACAGGTCTGGTATAAGGGTGAAGATGAAAAACAACCTCCTGCATGAATTTCATGTTCACAAAGGTTACCAGATAGAAAAGAGGAAGATAGTTTTGTCTGTCTGAAAAGCTGCTCTTCTGACTTACTACTCCAGTTCTCTTATGTCACTAAAATCTCCTAAGTCCAAATTCTTGACCCAACTCATGTATACAGAAACTATTTGGTTTGCCAGTCAGATATGTTGTTTGCCATTGCTCTGCCATAAGATGTCATTTTTTTTTTTTTTTTTTTTTTTTTTTTTTAAAGATACTTAGTTTAAGATACATATATTTTTTGTATTATTTATTTTTTATTCTTCTTAATATATTTTTTTTAATACATATTAACATGCAATTATTTTTTTGTGCATTTTTAGTTACATAGATTATTAAAAAAAAAAAATAAATAAAATAAGAAAAAATTGTGGTAAAAAAATATTACATATTCAGAATTTTCGGTCATAATTCTTACGCATATATTAGACTATTAAAGTCTCAATAAAAAAGATGTATGTAATATATGAAAATAGGAAAAAAAAAAAAAAATAAGTTTATCTAACTTTTAAGATTATATAAAATAATTTTAAAAAAAATAGGAAAAGCACACAAATATTAAAAAAAAAAAAAAAAAAAAAAAAAAAATTCACACTATTCAATTCTTTTTTTCATGTCTATTTATTTTCCATACAGCTATTAATTTTTTTCTCAAAAACTCTAATAATTCCTTTTATTAACAAATCTTTAACTCTAATAATTCTCAATAAAGACT